CTTTTTTTTCACAGCTCTCCACCTCCATCCTCCATGTTTGAATTGGTCCTAAATTCCTGTCCCTTCCCCTGCTCACTCGGTGGTTTGATCTTGGAGCTGTGTTGTCCCTTCTTAAAAAGTTTCAGTGACTGCCAGCAATGGCAGTGCCTACCCAGTGCCTACCCAGTGAAAAGTGTCGTGGCTGGCTCTAAATGCGCCACACCAGAAGGCGACTCTGCTAGTAATAGCACTTGGTCCAGCCCTCTGGTACTTTTAGTTAAGTATAGAAAACTTCTGAGCCTGAAATTCAAATTCTTTTTTAAAATGCTTTCTCCTTTGGTGGAAAAGAGTCAGTTGTTTTTGCATCTTCAGTTCTTTTATCTTATTCGAGAGAGTTGCCAAGATTCAAAGCACAAAGAAGGAATGGCAGAGATGATCCTTATAAATGCCAGTGTAATTTTAAAGAAACCTTTTTTGTTGTTTTTATTAAATCCAAAGTTTTTATAAAATCAAAGTTTCAGGACAGAGCTGGAAGAATGGACAGATCTGTGTTAGGAATCTGGGCTGCAAATGACAAAAATATGCAATTCAAACTTGTTTAAGCAGACAAAAAGGATGAGTTGAGTCCTGTAACTGAACTGTCCAGGCCTTCAGGTATGACAGGATCCAGATGGTCAAGCAATGTTGAAATGAAATATGGCTCAGCTTTCTTTTGAATTAGTTTGAATTTAAAACTTTAAAATAAATTGAAATACATCAAATGTATAAAAATCTATTCCTTCATTAAAAAATAATAATTGGCTACTTTCGAGGGCTGCTAGGCACCATTTTATTATTCTAGAAATTAGTAAAGGGGGGACAAAAGCTTTTATCCTACCCTTCCTACGCAGTCTGTATTTTGAAATAACCAAAGAGTTGATGATGGGAAAATTTTTTTGTACAAATATAACAGCTAACAAATAACAATAGGTATGATAGAATTATAAAATTACCATTTTGCAACCCCATGAAACAATGGATCCAGGCAATCGTCAACAATAGCTGTGAAAGTTAGGCAGAATAGTAAAAAATATGCAAAGAACTAGACCTTTTTTTTCACAGCTCTCCACCCACATCCTCCATGTTTAAATCAATCCTAAATTCCTAGGTGAAAGGCTGTGGGGAATTTTATAATGGATGGATCAGGCTGACAACAGTTAAGTCCACTGATCAATCTTAACATCACTAAAAGTGAGACGACAAATATTATGTTCCTCCTGGCATGATACAATAGGAGTAAATGGCACTATGTATGAAGTATTCTAAGCCAAAAAAAAAAAAAGTCAAAAATCTGAATATAATCAAGCCTCTAGATCTAACTATCAGTAATTTATATATGGGAGGTAGTAGAATGTTTAACACCACAAAGATAAAATTAACCAAATCTAGAATATGGGAAATTCTATAGGATGAATGACCTGGTTCCTTTCAATGGTTGAATATCATGGGGTAAAAAAAAGGAAATGAGAATTCTTTTATATTAAAAGAGACTCCAGGGGGTCAGCCCCCTGGCTTAGTGGTTAAGTGCCCCCAATCCGCTACTGGTGGCCCGGGTTCGGATCCCTGGCACGCAGCAACGCACAGCTTGTCCGGCCATGCTGAGGCGGTGTCCCACATACAGCAACTAGCAGGATGTGCAACTACGACATACAATTATCTACTGGGGCTTTGGGGAGAAAAAGGGAAAAAAAAAAGGAGGAGGATTGGCAATAGATTTTAGCTCAGGGCCAGTCCTCCTCAGCAAAAAGAGGAAGATTGGCATGGATGTTAGCTCAGGGCTGATCTTCCTCACAAAAAAAAAAAAGAGAGACTCCAAGAAAAGGGAAAAAATTCAAGTAGTTAAAAGGAAAATTGATTGTTAATATAGATACTAATACAGAATGAATTAGCCAGAAAACCTTGAGAAGAGTATTATATTCTTTTTAAACCAACAAATATTTGTTAAAAAAATAAATAATACAAGGAAGAATTAAATTAGATTATATCAAAATTGGAATCTTTGAGGAATAGGACTATATATGAAATTCATAAAATGAAGCCGAGTAATCCTTAAGAACCATAATTAAGTTTTCGTTGCTTGATTCCATTTAGGCTGTAAGTCTTTCAAGAAAAAGTCCTATTTGGGAATTCTTTCCTTGTTTTAAAGGTGAATTAAAAGTAGAATGTCAGCTCCGCCACCTCAGATTGTTCATTCGGAATAAAAATTCCAAAATCATATCCAATAGCATGTGTGCTAAACCACAGATGCGAGTGAAGCTCAGTGCCCTGAAGGAGAGCAGGGAATAAGGGCCCTCCCCTCACTGGCCTTGCCTTCTAGAGGGTGAGGCAGACCATAAAAAAGTGCATGAATAAATGAGATAATTCAGGGAGTGATGTGTGCCTGAAAGGAATAAATAGGTTGCTGAGATAGGGAACATGGGCAGAGAGAGCCTCTTGGAGGAGCTGCTGCTTGACCTAAGACCTAGAGCATGAACATGAGTGCGAAGGCTCTGAGACATCTGGAAGAACAGGAAGGTGACCTTTGTGCTGGGAGCTGGGGAGCAAGGGGAGCGTGGTATGAGATGAGGCTGGAGCATTAAGCAGGAAGTGGAGTCTGTACAAAGTGTAATGAGACTTGTTTGGAAGCGTGGATTTCGAAAAAGACGTCTCATTATTTTGTGGTTACCCAATATATTTTACTTTTATAATTAAAATTATTTCCTGCCTGTGGGAATGCAAACTGGTGCAGCCTCTATGGAAGACAGTAAGGAGATTCCTCAAAGAATTAAAAATAGAAATACCCTATGATCCAGCTATCCCACTACTGGAATCTATCCAACGAACCTGAAATCAACAATCCCAAGGGCCTTATGCACTCCTGTGTTCATTGCAGCATTATTCGCTATAGCCAAGAAATGGAAACAACCTAAATGTCCCTCAACTGATGATTGGATCAAGAAGATGTGGTATATATATACAATGGAATACTACTCAGCCATAAAGAAAGACAAAATCGTCCCATTTCCAACAACATGGATGGGCCTGGAGGGTATTATGTTAAGTGAAATAAGCCAGAAAGAGAAAGACAAACACTGTATGATCTCACTCATATGTGGAATATAAACCAACACGTGGACAGAGAAAACTGTATTGTGGTTACCAGGGGCAATGGGGGTAGGGGGTGGGCACAAGGGGTGAAGAGAGACATGTATATGGTGATGGACAAACAAAAATGTACAACCCAAAATTTCAGGGCCGGCCCTGTGGCTTGGTGGTTAAGTGCGCGCGCTGCGATGCTGGCGGCCCGGGTTCAGATCCCGGGTGCGCATCGAGGCACCACTTCTCTGTCCATCCTGAGGCCGAGTCCCACATACAGCAACTAGAAGGGTGTGCAGCTATGGCATACAACTATCTACTGGGGCTTTGGGGGCAAAAAATAA